AGGAATGGGAGACTGTGTCAGCAAGTGACTTCAGTGGTTTATTCAGAGGGGTTACAGCCCTGAATTATAACCATGGTGGCAGAAAGAGGATATGGATGTCAGAGAAACTCTAGGATGAATCACTTATTTATCCATTTCACTTTTATTAAACACCTGATCTGACCAGGTACCTGCTTCATATAGGGAACTCAAAGAGAAATCAGAGGACCCCTGATAGGAGGTGAGGGGGAAGATAATTTAGTCACTGCTTTCAATTTTGAAGGTTACTTGTAATGGTGGTGAGAACCATGTGGCAAGTGAGGAAACCAGAGAAGTTGAGGATAATAATGCCATTAACAGAGATAGTCAACACTGGAGAAGAGGCCAATTTAAGGGGAGAGGATGAGATAATCTTGGAGTGGAATCCAGCATGTAAATCTCAGTAAGTGAATGAATACATGCCTAAGAATGAAAGAATGCATTAACGCATGAAGGAATGGATGGAGGCATGGGAACTTTGCCACCCTCCATGAGCCAGGTACCTACATACTCTGTCATCAGTCGTGCTTTATGATTAAATCTCTCTGAGCACAGCAGTCTCTCAGCATTCTGAAACATTTTTATAATGAAGGGCAAAGGGAGAAGGAAAGCAAGATTAGGAGCTCAGTGTTAACTCTATACACCTATATCTCAAAATTCAGAATGATAGGATTGGCTGCCAAAATGTCAAAATTTGCAAACAAATACTCACTTTGTGTTTTTATAATGTCTTCCAACATTTTTCCAATGTTTAAATCATAGTTCAGTTGCTTTGCTACTTGTTCTTTTTTTCAGTATTTTGGCTTTTTTCAAAAAGTCTGATCTTCTGATGTTATACCAATTCTCTCTACATTTGTGTATGAGTGCGTATGTGAGAGAGAGAGAGACTTCATATGGACTGCTTTTTTTAACTGCTTGATTCATTATCAGAGCAAGTTCTCCATAAAATGCTTGTTAAATCATATTTGTCTTGTTATGTCAGTCTGTAATTTTCATAATCATCAACGTAGACTTTCCATCAAGAGTCTTAGAGGTGAAGAATGAAGCTTCCAACCATGTCCTACCACCCGGACCTCTACTGAGTCAAATCTAAGGATTCGAAGATTAAAAAGGATTGAGCTGAACAATGACCACAGACACAGGGTGTCATTCACCTTTGGGAGCTCAAGATCCCAGAACAGCACACGTTGTCCAACTGTACCCTCAGAAGACTTTTTAAGTCAAGGAGCAAGCCTGAGCCCTCCACCATCAGTCTTTGAACATCACATCCTGCCCTCACTGTGGGTTTTGAGGCCCTTTCCCATGGAACAGCTCAGGCCTCGAAGTTGCTGTGAGGCATCGGTGGAACCAGGGTCAGTGCACTGACCAACCTGACTGGAAGTCAAGCTGAGAGGCTTTGAAGAGTGGCAGAGTATCTGAGAGCATAAAACTCATGTCCAGATGGCCTTGTCCAAAGATTATGGTGTTTCCCCCCATAATTTAGTTTTAAATAGGGGAGCTTTAGCATTATATCATCTAAACATCTATCCCAGAGAGAAGCTGAAGATGAGGTTTCTGCACTGGATGATAGGTGGCTCTGAGGAGTGATCTTGTCATGGCTTGTTCCCCTGGGAACAGGATTCCCTGGCCACCTGCATGGTAAATAAAGGTGCTTGTCCTAGGAGAAAAGGACAACAGGGAAGAGATGTCTGTGGACCCTTACTCTCATGGTTGTGAAATTGGAGAGTTATTACCCTGCCCCTACCTGGTTCTGGCTTGGGTCTGTGAGACTGAATTTCAGAGCATTAGGGTCTGGGCCTTCTGTTTATGTGGCATTGATTGTGCAGGAACGACGGTGGGGAATCTATAGCTACACAGTCTGTGGCTATGTGGCCAGTTGGTGTCCAGTGTCCTTTGAATCTCAGTTCTGACATATTTTGTTGAACACAAAGTTTTGACCTATCATGAACATACAAGGGATTCCCAGAGAACATTCTAGTAGATGAACACCATTACTTTCATAGAGGGGCAGCCTGGCATGGAAATAGAAATTAGAAAAGTCTCTAGCACACAGTAGGTTTGCGAGTAAGCAATACCTAGATTCTAGCTCCGTCTGCCACCAAATTATCAATGTGTTACAGAATAAGTCATGTGACCTCTCTGGGTTTCCATCTCTACCTTCATAAAATGAAATGGTTGGAGGAGTTTTTCAAAGTATGCTTCACAGATAACCTGCATCAAAAGTTTCACAATGCTTGTTATAATGCAGAGTTCTGGCCTTTACTCTGATAGGCAGATCAGAGCCTCTAGAAGTGGGCTGGGAGACTGAATTTTTACTGGCTCCCCAGGCCTTTCTTGATGCACACAGTACATCAAGAACCACTGGACAGGATGATCTCTAAGTTTCCTGTACTAACATAATTATAGGGCAGAATTGACCTGAGACAAAAATAGAAAAGTCTCTTTGGACAGATTTTGGTTCTCCCCACTCCCTCTGGGGCGTTACCCCTATGACAATTCCGGCTTCCTTTCCCCTCTGCTCCTCCCCTGCAACTCTTCGCTCACACTTGCACCATCTAAGCTCAGCCTCTTGGAGCTTGGTCTCCTCTTTTCCTGCCCTCACCGAACCTAATCAGCCTTTGCTACATGTGTTTCCTCCAACTCTCTGCATCTGTCAGGGTATGCAGGGATCAGCTTGCTAAAAGCATTTTGGAAAGCACTAAATGTTGTGCAGATAAAAGGTGCTCATCCAGTAGCCTTACCCAGGCCAGAAGGCCCATGGGGAGAGGGTGAGCTGAGGGTGCTCCTCAAGCTGGAATCCTAACCCATTACCATCAAAATGCCAGTATTCTAGTGCCAGTGGCTCATCCAGGCAAATGAGTCCTCAGGGAAATTTCAGACCCATTTAGAGGTGGGGAGGGCGACATTGTGGCAGATGCATAGGGCAACTACTTTTTGGAAGACATGACTCTTGGAGGTTTTTAGAATCTCATCAGTAGGCGGGTGCTCCTGCATAAGATCGATTCTCCTTATAAGAAGTGCACATAATTTATCTACATGGCTTGAGAGAGAGGAGATTCAGGTAAAATATCTTAAACCCGCAGAGAAACTCAAAATACTTGGAGATCAATCCAAATTTTCAACCACTCCTCCCAAATGTCTCAGCTTTGATGCATGTAAAAATGTAAGGATTAAGCATCATAACCAAATACAATTTTCACGTATCCAATTCTTATGTGTTGTCTAATTCTTTTCAGGGTCTTTGAGCCTACAAGTACCATGCACTAGAGACTAATTTCTCCTTGTTTCATAAAGATAAGAGACTCGATCATAAGAGAGATGTTCACTCTGGAATTCTTCCGTGAGACTCTCAATTAAGTTGCCTGTAGCATTCAGTACAACCCTAATGGTTGAAGAGAAATCAGAGGATCCCAGTGAGATGCCATGGTCTGAATGCTATTTCCTTTTTATTTAATATACAAACATGAGTATATGATTTTCTTAAAGTATGGACCAAGGCAGTTTGGTGAGTGGTGTGGATGGGCTTGGAACTCACCAGTTGCACCTTTCTTGGAAAGGCCTACTGGGACAACCCTGCCGGTAAGGTCTATGAGTGACAGGAGCATGAGCAGGTAATCACAGGTCTGGAAATGCTTCTATTTCACCAAATAAATATATTGCATAAATAACAATAACAGCTGCAACCTAATAGTACTGTATGAGCAATAGGTAACATTTATTGAGTGCTTCCTGTGAACCAGGATATGAACTAGGCTTTTCATATATCTAACCTCATTTAATTTTATTTAACAGTGGACACTATTATTATTTTCATTTGTGCAAATGGAGAAGTTAAAATTTAGAAAAGTTAATAGCATCTAAAATCACCCGGTTATCGAGTGGTGGAGGCAGACCTCAAGCCTAGAGTCTGCTCTCTTAAAATAGTAGGAATTACAGGCAATGAACATTTGAAAAACTAACCCAAAGCCCACTATTCAGAAGGAACTGTTTGTAACATCGCTCTTCATAGCTTTCCAGGTTTTCCCCTGTGAATGTTACATATAAAATTTATTATATATACAGATCTCTCCCTCTTCTATAACCTGTTTTCTTTTTTTTTCATTTCCCAATCTATAACCTAGAAATATTGCTCCGCAATCAGAGTTTTCATGACAGAGAGGTAACAGTCTGCTCGCTCCAGGTCCTCCAAGTGTTGGCAGCAGAAAAGTGCTTACCCAGCACGATGCCCACAGAGCGCACAAGGCGATGGTTTTATAAAATGCAAAGCTGGGCACCCAAGTAGATATCAAGACCGCAAAGTCCAACAGCTTTGAAACCTACTCCAGCACATTCTCACATTCCTATATTTTACAGACAAGGGTAATGAGCCCAAGAATTACCGCCCTCCAGCTTCAGGGTAGTGAAAAATGAAGGGTTGTTTTCCGAGTAATGTGATGCCAGACAGCTGGCTCACCAGTCAACAGTGCCAGGCCTTCTCTGAAGGCCAGTGTGGGCCCCCGGCTCCTTCTCACCACCCAATGTCACAGAGCACCCCATACCAGGGAAATCTGTCCTTCTGCAGGATGTATAACTGTAGGAGGAAAGCAGGTTTTACTGGCTTGTGGTTTCCGAGGCTCTAAGAATGTTGAATACAGCCTGTGCATTGGCCGCTGAAGAACCCGAGAGAAACCACGAGGTTGGGAGTGATTAGTTCCTGTTGTTCCCCATCTTCCACCAATATCGGTACCTGTCTCTTGATAAATAGACACATGAACACACTCCAAACACCAGCTCCTTGACAGCAAGCAATAAAAATGTGCCTTGACCCACTGAAATAAATTGCACCGAATGGAGTTATTGTTTCCATTTATTATTTATTAGTCATGTCCCATGGAGTGACTGGTGAAATAATTTTTTTCCATTGGAAAATGAATGTATGACCTGTGAAGAATAACTTCACAATCAGATGTAATAACAATCACGGACAACTGTTCTCCCTGGCTTGGACCAAATCTAATGTTCTCTGTCCCAAGCAAAAATTCCTTTGCAGATTAATGTATCTCTTTGGCCACTTGATCTTTTCTCAATTCATATCTCAAGTTGTCTCTCCCTCCTGTTCCTTCCCTTTCTGGCCACCACACCAAGTTCTCCAATAGTCCCTTCCAGATGCCACAGTTAAAGAAATAGTACTGAGGCTGAGAGGTTTGAAAGGAGCCCAATGGTCCAGGAATGGATTTTGAATTAATTCAAAAGAATGGTTACTTCAACACAATATTTTATCTGGAATAGGAAGAAATGTGTCACTTACTGACATGAGCAGTTTCTTCAGTCACTGTCACATTAAGATGTCTGAAGATCATATTGAAAATTTGATTCATTTGTCTCACTCCCAAAGATGACCTAGAAGAAGTTGGAATCATTGGCATTTATTGTCTTTTAGCATATACTTGATAATCTGGTAGATATAAGTAGCAATAGTAAAGATTAATCGACTGGCAAACACTGTTACTAAACTATTCTTTTAGTCATAGAAGGAAGTGCACTGGGGAAGTACTTGTAAGTTTTTCAAGCTTTTTTGCCATTCAGATAACACATGCAATACCATCTGCCTTATTGTATTTTATAATTATCAGAATCAAGAGTACCTTAGAATTGTAGGTGTTGGTTAAGTGGTGGCCTCCCCCATGAGTGTGGTAGAATAATGCTGAGTTGCCTTCTAAGGTACATAGTGCTTCTATTGACCTCAAACCTCAGTAATACACAGTGTTTAGCCAGAGTGTTAAATGATTGTCAACCCCCTGCTTAATCATGTCAGTGGCTTCCTTTGGCCATGAAGCTAAAGTGCAAATTCGAGCATGGTTAAAAAATTCATCTCAATCTGGCCCAGGTCATCCCTCCTGCTACTTCCCCTCACTCTTTACTCCCCAGCCATACTGTGAACTACCATGGGTAGCTCTTCTATCCATGTTTGTAATTATACCTAGGTCTGAGTGCAGACTAGCCCCTCCACCTGAACCCCCAGTCTACCTTTCCTTAGGTCTTCATTTAGAAGTCACTTCTTATCAGATGATTTTCCAGACTATACTAGTAGATAACCATCAGGTGCTCCGTTGGCACCCTGAGACTCTGTCACTTGTAGTTACTAGAGTACCTGTCACTGGGCCACCTTTCCTCCTTCTCAGGCTACCTCCCTCTATAGCTATTTCTCTTTTCCATGCTTAGCTCCACTGCTGTTCATCTTCTGCAACCCTGGACCATTCTTCCCTATGACAGGATGCCTTTCCCTTGCATTGGCACTAGAAGCGAGGGACCACTAGGTAGGGCATAATTCTTTATTCCCCACTAAACTACCATAAAAAGTGTGTGAGTATCTGAATTTACTGAGGATTTGCAGGGGCGTTAGAGATTTACATCATGGGGGCGCCTGGGTGGCTCAGTCGTTAAGCATCTGCCTTCAGCTCAGGTCATGATCCCAGGGTCCTGGGATGGAGCTCCACATCGGGCTCCCTGCTCCACGGGAAGCCTGCTTCTCCCTCTCCCACCCCCTGCTGTGTTCCTTCTCTCTGTGTGTCTTTCTCTGTCAAATAAATAAGTAAAAATCTTTAAAAAATAATTAAAAATATATATAAAAGAAATTTACATCATGGCCATAGAAACCACCTGTGGAATGAAACATTAAACATCCCTGGCACCCATCCCCCTGCTGGGAACTTCTCACTTTTCTTGGCAATTCCAGCCTCCTTCCATGGAGTTGTCTGGTTTCTTTCTTTTTTTAAAAAGATGTATTTGTTTGTTTGTCAGAGAGAGAGCGTGAGCACGCAGCACATACATGAGCAGGGGCAGCAGCAGGCAGAGGGAGGGGGAGAGGGAGAAGCAGGCCCCCCACCGAGCAGGAAGCCTGCTGCAGGACTCGATCCCAGGACCCTGGGATCCTGACCTGAGCCAAAGGCAGACGCTTAATCGACTCAGCCACCCGGGTGTCCTGGAGTTGTCTGCTTTCTGTCACCCTACCCTCTCCACATTGTCCTTCTTTCCCCTTTGAAATCCCTCTTTTCTTCTTCTCTTCCCTTCCCTTTCCCCTTCCTCCCTCCTTCTCTTCTCTTTTCTCCTCTCCTCTCTCCTCTCTCTCCCCTCCCCTCCCCTCCCCTCTCCTCTCCTCTTTCTACCTTCCTTCCTCCTTCTATCCTTTCCTTTCCTTTCCCTTCTTTTCTTTCCTTTATGACTTGCTAGCCCGTGTGATCCTTTCCATCTACAAGTCATGGTTCCATCTACTCAAAACTCAACATCTCAGCAGTCAAGTCCTTATTGGCCCCTGATAGGCCTGTAAAAACCTATAAGGTCACTTCTCAACCTCCTCTTCCACCACTCTCTGAGACGTTTCCTCCACTCTGCTCATCCAGGACTCCTTGCTACTCTCAGGAGATACAGGCACGCTCCCATCTTAGGTCTCTGTCCTGGCTGCTGCCTCCACCCAGAACACTGTTTCCCAAATGGTCACGTAGCTAATTTCCTCACCCTCTTCCAGCACTTCACCCTCTAAATAATTGTCTATGGTCATCTGTCTCCTCTCACCAGACTGAAAGCTCCATTGGAGCAAGTCTCTTGGGTTTTGTTTACTGATGGATACCAAGAGTCAAGAGAGTCTAGCACATAGAAGGATCTCAGTAAATATGTGTTAAATGAAAAGTCTCCTGCTAACTCATACCCCTTTCCTCTTCTCACCTTCAAGGTATTTTTTCTAAACAAAGATAGTTACCACCCTAAATGATTTAGGAAATAACTTTTGTATTTTTTATATTCCATTCTATTGAATTTGCTTATTTTCTTATTTATAAGTACCACTACCCTTACATTCTTTGAGGGTGGGGACCTACACATCTTACTAATGCTGAGAGCATCTTAATAACGCTTGGTTGGTTTATAACAGATCCTCCTTAAATAATTGTTGAATAAATAAATGAAAGTAATGCCTGATCATTGTACATGGCTTTATTTATATACGGAGTACTTTAATTCTTCCATTGGGTGGTATTATCACTCCCATTTTAGAACTAAGCTCAGTGAATTTCAAAAACTAGTCCAAGGTCATGCAGTAAGGAGCAAACTGAAATTGAGCTTTCTACCTCTGACTTCCATGTTTTGTTTTGTTTTTTTCCATTACACTGCATTGCTTCCCCATTCCCAGATCCCTTAAGTTCCTGGGCCTCTAACTATATTTGTTACTATATTCAAATAATGTCAGGAGGAGTGGTTTGTTACGTCCATTAGAGTGAACATCAGAAACCTTTTCTTTCCCCTAGGAACCATAAATGGGCATAGCAGACAACCCATGTAACCATGTCTCCTACAGCAGGTGTGCATGAGGCAGCCCCTCAGCTGGGGTGATATGAATTATCCTAGAGCTAATTCCCTTCCCCAAGGGTGAAGTTGTGATCCCTAAACTTCCTATCTCATGAACTTTTACTCTTGGCTAGTATCCAGCAACTCCTCATCAAAAGTTCACTGTATGTGGGAGTGGTGTGCATCAGCAGGAACTAGCACATTAGCAAAAATTAATTTTATCTAAGCAAAAGTCACCTTACCTTATCTTTGTGTGTGTGTGTGTGTGTGTGTGTGATTTCTCACTTTTCCTACTTTTAAACCATATCTAGTTCTGCAAATGCCTCTTTCTGTAAACCCATCCATTTTATTCTAATATTTCTTTGGCTTTCACTTTCCCACAGGTACAGGTTAAAAGAAAATTTTCAGATTTTCTCATTTATTTACATTGTGCAGATCAACATATTACTTTTTCATGATATTTTGGTATCCAAATGACTATGCCCTAGACTGCATACCAACCCAATGGCAGAGTTAGAATTCCAGAACATAAGTCCTCTGAACGTTCGACTGTGAGTCCTTAAGAAACAAGCTTTTGGAATGTCAGCTCTAAAGGAGTTGGCTTCTGCTTGGAGACTTTCCCCATACTGTCCACTACTGCCAAATGTATGTTCTGTTTCCCTGGCTTGAAGTAGGAATCAGAGCAGAAATGTTCATTTCTAAGATAAGGACAGAGATTTAAAACGTGGCTTTCATTATAGAATTGACAATTACTTGTACTGCTCATATTAGCAATTTTTTCTTTGGCACGTGCCACTCACGTGTAAGTACTGTGGCTACTAAAGGAGTTCACAAAATCTTTTGTGTGTGTCTCCTTGAAAGACCCTATGCGGAGAGGTAAATTACACCCTGCAGATTAGTGCTGAGCAGTTGATTCTCCAAAGCATACTTAGGTATGCAGGGCATTGTGATCCTAGGATTTTATTGATCACTGAAAGTTTCCTATGTTCTTCAACCTGGATCAGTTGTGGAAAACGGTAGCAAAAGCCTTCTCAATTGCTGTGAGTGTTTCAGAAATTTAAGCTTGCTTGCCTCTGTATGAGCACAAGGTTATATCCCAAGCTAATGTCTCTGTAGATGTTGATGGGACTAGGCAAGGGAATGGGATGTCTCAAATGGGATAGGGTGAGAAGTGGCACAGGAAGTAGCAAAGAAGAAGAATAGAAAGGAAAGTCCTGAGGGGCGTCTGGGTGGCTCAGTTGGTTAAGCGGCTGCCTTTGGCTCAGGTCATGGTCCCAATGTCCTGAGATTGAGCCCCGCATCGGGCTCCCTGCTCTGCAGGAAGCCTGCTTCTCCCTCTCCCACTCTCCCTGCTTGTGTTCCCTCTCTCGCTGTGTCTCTCTCTGTCAAATAAATAAATAAAATCTTAAAAAAAAAAAAAAAAAGAAAGGAAAGTCCTGAGATGCTGTCCGTCAAGGGCATGGGCTGATGACATGGCTCCCGGGGTGGGACCAGCAAATCTTTAGTCTGCAAAGAGAAGGCTTCCCACACCAGCCCCATTCCTGTGCTCATGCCATTCATTCTGCGTCTACCATGAATTGCTGCAGACCCACATATTGTAAAATTATAGTGAGTTTATCATGTAGACATAGTTTGAACTCTTTTACTGTACCTTCTGATAACCTCTGATATACCTCCTAATCAAAATAAACCTCATGGATACGTTGGGATGCATATAGGTGCTTTTTAAACGAAAAGTGAATTTTAGGGGCACCTGGGTGGCTCAGTCATTGAGCGTCTGCCTTCGGCTCAGGTCATCATCCCAGGGTCCTGGGATCGAGCCCCGCATCGGGCTCCCTGCTCCGCGGGAAGCCTGCTTCTCCCTCTCCCACTCCCCCTGCTTGTGTTCCCTCTCTTCACTGTGTCTCTGTCAAATAAATAAAATCTTTAAAAATAAAAAAATATATGTATATATATAAAAGAAAAGTGAATTTTAAAATCTTGAGTTAAATAGCATAGTGGAGCTTGGATATTCTTGCCACGTGTTAATTATACCTCATGCTGAATGGGCATTGGAAGATAGCTTGCCAGATTACATACAGATGCATGAAATATCTCATGGGGCCAACAGTAATTATTCTTCTGAAGACTCTTGGTTTCTATTTTATTTCTCAAGATGGATCTATAAATCTGATAGCAATTGTATTACATCAAGTGTATGAAGCTGTTAAATACATATAAGGAAAAGACAGGATGTTTAAAATGTCATGTCAAAATAAATAACTGGGTGCTTCACAGCAAAGACAACTTTACATCAGCATGGATACCAACACATGGAAGCAATTAATAGAAATATTTTCAGTGAGAAATAGAAACATATCTATGGCCATTACTGAAATGCATTAAACAAGATGAACTTTTTGGAGAAAGTGAAAAAATAATATTTGCTAAAAAAATAAAAGCTTTTGGCTGTCATACAGTAATGTGTAATACTAGTGTTTCGGAGGTTCCCAGTCCTTCAATCCTCTTTATTCATGAATGCTTTGGAAGCAGCAGATTTTGATTCAAATCACCTTAAATTCAAGGACTGCGTTAGTGTCTATTGGCCTCCTTGGGGGATTTTCCTAGAATGATTGTGTTGTCTGGAATTTTATTTATTTGTTTTCAAAATGAAGAGAAAATAATTCAGAGCTGGATATGGATCACACTGTGTATATGCCTGTTAAGAAATTATTTACTGAAAAATTATTCATCCTCCAAAAAAAGCAAAATTACCCCCAACCCCATTTTTCTTACTCCTCAAGCCCCAAATGACCTAAGCTTAAAGATACTTGAAAAATAAAGGTCTCCAGAGGATATTCAACGTGTGGAATGAATTAACAGGAACCACAATGGCACTAAAGTTAATAATTATATAGTAAAAGAATGAAAAATTGGCATGCTTCTGAAGTTAACATAACAAATAGGGAACATGTAAGGAGCACGCTTTGCCAAGTTTAAGACGAGCTCAAAAACAGGAACTTTGAACTAGGATTGTACCTATTTTTTATGTTAGTTTACTCAAAGTTGATTTTTTATTTTTAAGGGGCAAAGGTCTAAAAATATATATTTTGCAAGGGAAAAAATCTGTTGGATATTAAATGGCTCTTAGAAAATAATATATTTATGATTCAAGTGTAAATGAGTCAGAAACATATGGATTAGATTTCCCTTAAATCTGTTCAAATATTAAAAGCAAGGGGGAAGGCACTTGGCAAATGTATTGGAAGTTTTTCAAAACTGTGATGTCTAAATGTATACTTTGAAAGTGTTATGAAATCTGGATTCTCCCTAGACTCAGTGATTAGCTTAAGCGGGTAGATCCTATAGTCACAGAAGGTTAATTTAAATAATTTCTTTGACAGTGGAAGCTTATACCTTCATGTAAGAATCATTTATCAACACTCAACTGGAAACTCTGGAAAGAGATTCATCTGCAAAGCAAAATATTAAAAATCTCATATCTAAGTAGACTGAGCAAGGACAGTTTTAGACATTAAATTCTGAATGTCTGATTTTGCATTGATCTTTTTAAAATCTGATATGATTTCCGACTTTTGATAGGTCTGTTCCACTAACAGGTTGTGTTGTACTCTGCAATCACTCAGGGCTATATCCAAATATTTACTAACCTCTAACTCATGGACACCATATTCAGAAGAGATAATGGTGTCCCAGTGCATACCTGCTGTTGTCGGCCTTAATAAGAACTATATTTTTAGAAGAGTGAGTTCGATAAAGGTAAATGTAGTATCCTTTGAAACTCTGGAAATAAAGTTGTGTGGAAGCTGTCAGTTTCCTGTGGTTAGGGCCTCAAATCAGCATGGCCAGGACAGGATTTGGACCAGCAAGCCGAGCCCCTGATTCATGTTCTGGATTGCACTCAAACCCCATCCGTTGTCCATAAATTCCTGCCCCTCATCACAAGGTGGTCCAGACAAGACTGTGTGAAGGGGTCAGTGCACATTCATCCCCATTGCCAGAAAAATGAATCAAGATTTATGGGCCACAACCACAATATGAAGGACAGATTATTATTTATGTAATAAGTCCATGATTATCTGTTTTGGCCTTCATTTCACTACAAGATCTTTTAACCTATTTCTTGATGACGTTGGCATTATTAGGAATTCTTTCCCAATCAACTCACTTTTATTTTATCTGGCATGAAACAATAAGGCTTATGAGAGTTTTCAGTATATCATGGCTACATATGCATTTGTTTTTTTTTCTCATCATTGCAGAAACTGTCAAGAGTTGGGCTCTTGTCCAACTTTCAAGAAAATATGTATATCTCTGTATGTGTATAAATATGAGGATCCTAACATTTTCTTTTGAAGCACTTATGGATATTTGGATTGCTCTGATTTATTTTTAGGCTTTTCCTTTTCACTGGAAGAAATTTGCCCTGAGGAAATTTTGCTCTATACTTTTCTCACGATAGGTGAGAAAGCAAGTCTTTTAAAACTAGTGGTGAAATGTCCTCTCAAAAACACAGAAAAAAAATGTATAAAAAAATTTGGAAGTGAAGTGACCAATATTAGAGTGCACAAAAACAGCTTTTTAAAGTAAAACTGTCCCTTGACATTTAATGGTGACTCCAAATAGAAAAAAAAGTAGCATAAGAAAACTTTCCTTTGAGAAACTATTGCCTATTTTTTTTTTGTAGGGGGATGATCAGTTTCTAGGATTTAAAATTTGACTTTAGAAAATGGGTATAAAGTTAGTTATACAAGAGGAGTAAGTTCCAGAGGTCTGCTATACAGCATAGTACCTATAGTTAATATATTATAATATTAATAATAATTATAATAATAAGGTATTGTGTACTTAAGAATTTCTTAAGAGATGTAGACCTAAACGTTAAGTGTTCTTACCACCAAAAACTAAACCAAACCAAACCAAAACAACCCCAGCAAAGGGACCCAGGGAAACTTTTGGAGATGATGGTTATGTTTATTACCTGGACTGTGGTGATGGTAACACAAATATATTCATCTTTCCAAACTCACCAAATTGTATACATTAATTATGTACGGTTTTCTGTAGACCATTTATACCTCAATAAAGCTAGAGAAAAAAAGAAAATGAGAAAAAACGTTTTTAGAAATAGATCTCAAAATAAAACAGAAGGTAGTTTAAAATGATACACATCATGCAAAATATCCAGTCCCATCATAGGTGTCATCTATTAGTTTTAATATATATCAGACACTGCAGTAACTGTTTACTTCACAGATTATTTCTATGAAGTATGTGGGCAATTCACTTAAATTGTCTCCACCTCAGTTTCTTGATTTGAACTGGACAGTAATAGTACCCATCTTTTAAAGCTATTTTAAGGATTAAATGATCAAAAGGATTAAATGATGAAACTGTGACACGGTGTCCATCACCCAGGAAATACTCAACAAATGGGAAGTATTGCTATCACTATAATTTCTCTGTTAAGGGAAGGCTGGCAATCAAGACTTGGAGATGTTACGGTCATAGACAGACTCAGATCTAACTCCAGAGTCTGTGCTCTTAAACTGCTAAGTTATGCTGTCTCCCTGTTGTGCATGCAAATGTATCAGTCCAGAAATTTTCTTCTTCTTCTTTTTTTTTTTTTTTGCCTCCTAGTTAATGTCTTCTGGGTCTCATTTACACAGAATCAAGAAAATCTTTTTTGGTCATATTTCTAAGAACATGTGTTTGTTCTGTACCCTTGTTCCAAAGATAAATATTCTAAAACTGGTGAGTCCTTATAATTATTTCACCCAAATAAGATTCTATGTAAGTTGAAAATATTTCCAGGTAAATGCACAGCTCAACATTTTAAGGTTGTACCATGGAGATCATGTTCTGCACCAGTGCAGATTTCAATGAAGTGGACCATGCAGTTTTATAATCATGCATATATCTGATTTACCTGAAACCTCATTTAGTCTCTGTGGAAGCAGCAAATAACATCTGGCTTTACTTTGAAAGTCCACAAAAGGGTCTTGTTTGTGAGTCCACCATACAACGTCATCCTAGCCATAGCGATGCATTCAAGAGGAAGCTTAAGAGTGTCCTTCCATGGAAAGTTTGAGCGGCTCTAATATTCATTTTGTGAAGACGCCTTTAGAGAAGGAGGTACAGCTCTTCCAGTTTGGAAAAGAAATGTCAACTTCAGAAAGGCACAGCGTTTTGACTACATCCTTGATTTGCTCTAGTGATCATAGTTCTCCAGTGGGTTTAAGAACAGTGTTGGTATTTTATTGTTTGCTTCCATGTGGTTCTGGCTGCTATGGGAACCACAACTTTGGTGTTCTAATGGTCAGCACGTCTGACTCACTTTGGGGAAAGGTACAGTAACGCTATGGCACACTTTCAGGAAAAAGCATGGAAAGCAAAACAGAATCCATGACCCCCTTAAAATAAAGGGACACTGTCTGACATCCAAATCAGGTTAAACCTGAGGGCCTGGCTTGGCAGTATGAAAAAGGAGCTCAAAGGTAGTGTTTCTGGGAGTCCACACTCTCTTTTGAGTGATGGTTTCTCTATTCACACCATCAACCTCTTAACTACATTTTTAAACGCATAATAAAACAGGCCATGACCCTAGACCAGAGTTCTCAGCACTTCACTTATGTCATTTAGCACTGCATCTTGAAAATAACTGAGAAAAGAGTGTGGATTATTCCATAATTGATTCAACTAAATTCCTTCCAGGGAGTTCAGCAGTGGCTCTTTGGTGACCTGGCACACCCCAACTTGTCTCCAGAGTTGGCTTCTGCCCTAGTTCAACCTTGTACCTCTCTAGGAACAACACACAAGCCATTACATTGGCTTTTCCAGAAGACCTGGGAGAAGATCTGTTCCTTTTCAACCTCTTTTTCATAATGTCACTATTTACTCAAGTCACTGGAAACACAATTCTTTTTTTTTTTTTTAAGATTTTATGTATTTATTTGAGAGAGAGCGAGGGCACGAGCCGCAGGAAGGGGCAGAGGGAGAGGGAGAAGCAGGCTGCCTGCTGAGCAGAGTCTAAGCCTCAACCCGGGGCTTGATCCCAGGACCCTGAGATCACAACCTGAGCTGAAGGCAGACGCTTAAACTACTGAACCACCTAGGTGCCCCGGAAACAATTCTTGAACATGAGCTCTCCCATTTTTAGATAATAGGGAAAAGAAATGATAGCTGAGATACCATTAAAATTTCCTGGTCTCGTGAGTAATAGTGTCCCATGGTAAGAGAAAATGTAGAGGCAAGATTTTCAAAGACTTCATAATACAAGGATAAAATGGAAAAGTAGACAACATAGAATATGTCCGTACAAAGATGGTCTATCAATAAAGAGAAAAAAAAGAAATGGCTTTTAAATATATCAGAAAAAAGAAAAAGATCAAGACTGATCTGCCCCTGCACTATGTTCAAGTAAGCCCAGGGTCATTAACTAACTACTGGGAGTGTCAACTAAGACCTCTTTCCCCACCAGGGGACGCAAGGCAGTAAACCAGGCCCTTTATGAAGTCATCTGGTAGCAAGAGTCTAACTCCGTGACATTTCAAAAGCCAAGAAAGTAGTTCCAAGAGGAAGCTGTCTCCCCAATAAATGAGTGAAGATGGAGAAGTCATTATGACTTGAAGACAGAGAGAATGAACTCCTTTTCAAATCAGTGTTTAATGAGAAACTCTAGACCAGTTGAGCACTCAGGGATCAGGGAATGTTTGTATCAACTCTCACCTGAAAGTAAAGGGATGCTGGGCGACTACAGAGTGGAAATGTCTTTCTAACATAAGCAATTCTCAGAAATGGCTAAATGACTTCTATTTATTTATTTATTAATTTTGGAGAACTTGGAAGCCCCTAGGAAAGACTGAGTAAAAACAAGTATGGTCTCAAAATTTAAACAATGGTTTGAATTATTTCCAAAATGTCAAGACCTCATCTTTCTATGGATCTGTGATGAACTGGGCAATGTGTAGGGTTCAGAGGTGTCTGTGGGTTTTTTTTTGACAGAGCATAGGAGCTTTCTTTCTAACTGGATGAAAATTAAAAAATAAAAACTGATAAATTTTAAACGAGGCGATTCCTGTCTTGTAGGGGATTCCTTACTTCCTGTCAACAGGTTCCTTACTTCCTCTCAGAGAAGTTGAAAATGCTCCATACTCTTCTTAAGAGATCTTCCCCTCATGCACCCTTGACAAATGTCTGTTTCCACAGAGCATTTTCTCTACCTGAGATTTCCTTCCTCTGCCCACCTGCCAAATTTCTTCCATCTCTCTCAAGACTCAGGGGCCTAGTCCCTGGATCTGTGAAGGAGTGGGATGAGAAGAAGAGGCGGTGTGATCAGGGAGAGGTAACAAGAACACAGTGATCTCAGAGACTTCAAAGACTTCAGGGGCTTGGTTCTTTTGATTTATGTGTGGAATTTAAGAAACAAAACAGATGAACAAGGGGAAAGGAAGGGAAAATAAAATAAGATGAAAATCGAGGGGGAGGCAAACCAAAAGAGATGCTTAACTCTAGGAAACAAACTCAGGGTTGCTGGAGGGAAGGGGGTGGGAGGGATGGGGTAACTGGGGGGATGGGCATTAAGGAGCGCCCTTGATGGAATGAGCACCGGGTGTTATATGCAATTGATGAGTCACTAAATTCTACCTCTGAAACTAAGAAAAAAATAAATAATAAAATAAATAAAATAAAAATCTCACTGCTGCTCTACACAAATGTGAGGGAAGGGGGAGAATTTCCAACTTCAGATGCAGGCCTTACAAGGCTGCAAAATAATAACTGTTAACTGTATTTAATACTTCCCCAGTATGATAGCTGTCCCCCGTATGGAGACAGACTTGGAGCTTGGGGTGATTCTCAAAGCAGGCTGAACAAATTCTCATATTATCAGCCCCCCCGAAAGTTTTCCCAAATGGAATAGTTAACCACTGCAGTTCCCATTCCACACTGAAAAGATTCAAGAAGACCAGAGCACCTAAAGGTTTATCTATTTCACTTGAGTCCTGTTCAAAAAGGTAGTAAAAGAGGAGAGAGGGATTACATATACAAGTATGTATATGTAATGAGAGCATGCTGTGGAAAACAGTGGGCAGTTCCTCAAGAGATTAAAATTAGAATTACAATATGATCCAGCCCTTTTACTCCTAGGGATATATCCATAAGAATTGAAAATAGAGATTCAAATACTTACACACAAATGTTCACAGCAGCACTGTTTACAACAGCTAAAGGTGGAAACAACCTGAATGTTTATCAGTGGATGAATAGATAAAAAAATGTGGCACATCCATAGAATGGAATATTATTCGGCCATAAAAAGGAATAAAGTACTAATACATGCTGTAGTGTGGATGAACCTTGAAAACATTATGCACAGTGAAAGAAGCCGAGCACAAAAGGTCACATATTAGGTGACTCCATTTATATGAAGTGTCCCAAACAGGCAAATCCAGAGACAATAAGCAGGCTAATAGTTGCCTAGGGTCTAGAAGGAAGGGGCATGGGGAGGGACTGCTTCATGCATATGGGATTTTACTGGGGCGCGATAATGTTTTGGAACTAGATAGAGGTGATGGTTTCACAGCACTCTGAATATACCAAAAGCAATGTACACTTCAAGATGGTTATTTTTGTGTTATGCGAATTTCATTGAATTTCACATCAATGAAAACACACAAATGTGCACATACACATCCATAAGCACGTAAGGGTTACACGGGCCCTAAAACACACAGGACAACCAGAAGTGCATGGTGTTGCAGCCGTCCCAACAAAGCAAGGAAAACTACTCTCTCTCAGAGTTTTCAACAACTTTATTTAAATCAAACTTGGTTTTCATTACATTTGGATTGTTTCTCTCATCCCGATTTTCATTACAGGAAACTATTTGAGGCCAATCCTCAAATCTAGTCTTCGGCTTGGTTTCTCCTGGTAGAGTTAACAGAATAGTTTAATATCTATTTTTTTTTCTTTTCACAATTTTGCTGTCCTTACAAGGAGGCAAATAAATTCATCCCCATCCCCACTGATATTTCACACTATTTTTTCTAATAGAGCTTTAAATAGCCTAGTATGTTCTGTAATTCCCATCAGAATCTCAATCACATCAGAATCTCAATCACAAACAAATTCATCTGCAAATAAATTGAAACTGATTTAACCCATCAGGGAGGCTAAAGTGCACCCATAGTTCGTTGACAGGTTTCTCTGGGCTAAACAATAGAAATTAATCTGTAGTTGCCAAGCACCAAAGGGTGAGCAGTCCCTCAAGGTCACTGTGAAGAACATTGCTGGCTTTGAGCTTCGAAGAATTAAAAGACTTCCTTCCTGACAAGAGTGGATGTGGTAGAGGTGTCATTCAGGAAGACGATAGGGTTACCAGCCTGGAGGTAAAAAAGTCATTTGGAGCACAGTGTCTTTTGTGTCTGGGCTTATGTTTAGAGAAGGTCAGGCGAAGGGCAGCAGAATGACATGTCAGCTTCCGGCCCAAAGGGCTTCCTCTCGTGCTATTTGAAATCCAACAACTTGTACACTTGCAAGTATTGGGTCCCTTTGCTGTCGAATTTCTCATCCTAGTAGCTTTTCCTGTTCTTTCAGGCTGATGTAACTGTCACACCTAAGTAGAAACAAGAGCCTTTCATTGTACCCAAACACATTGACAAGACAGCAATTAAGCCTTTGCCGTTGACATAATTTCGGTCTATGACATAAGAAATCATACCAGTTAGGCCTAAAAAATCACTTTAAAAAGAACTCAAATCTCAGTGCAATGCAAGCCGAAGATCAATGTCAGTCTCGCTCTGATCTCGTATTCGACGAGCTGTAGTAGCATTTTAGTAGCATTTGAAAAGAAATATTAGCCCAATCACTTAGTATGTCATCTGCATAATTTCTAATACTGATATAGAGTCACTGAGTATATTATGCACAGTGAACTTCCCGTGATGCCCTGTTCTCCACTGGAGCTGGCTGGGTTCCCAGAATGCAGCACTGCTTATCATGGAGAAAAGTGCAGAAAAGTGCTTCCATCTAGGAGAATAATCATTCTAGTGACATGGTAGTTGTAAATCTGTTAAAGTTGAATTCCTTGTTGCTACGACGAAATGTAAAACTTCTTACAGAACTTTCAGCGTGGGGTCACATAATTATGAATTAGGCAATTCTGACATGCCTTATCTCACCACATTAACATATGTTATGGAGGCTAACTAGCTTTGCCACTTTAATTTTAATATTAAAATATGCCAAATATAATGTCCAC